ATCTATCTGTTTTCAAAATTCCCAGAGCCGTAGGCCACTCATGCCTGTTCATTGTTTGTACTCACTCATGCGTACACTCATCATTTACTCTCCAATTTTCCCTAAATTTTGAGCATTTCATGTGACCTTGTTAACATTATAAGTAAAGTGCAATTAACAATGGCTCCTAAAGTAAGTGGTGATGCCAAGAGAAAACGTGCAGTTCTCAGCCATCTATGTCTTTTTCAGCCATTTATACATTTTCAACCACCTGCCTTGTCAACCCTCTACATTTTCTCAACTATCTACATCTCGGCCATCTACATTATTTTCATTAGTAGATTTACAGCTCCTCTGACTCAGAATAAAAATTTATCCGAGTCACCATTATCGATCACAAATTACCTCATCTGTCCACCATGAAAAGGTAGGTACAATTACTGTATATAACAGAGTAGTATAAAATTACTACACATACAGTACTGTACTTTAGTACTACAGGTTGCAGTACCTATTAGCATCCAGTTCTCTTTCACATTAGAGGACCAAGTTCACTACTTCATAAGAAAACCAGACGATCATGAAATATTGGGGTTTGAGGAAATTGGCATTATCATATACCCCTTTCCCTATTAGTCCATTAACCCTTTCAGTGTCGGTCCCATAGTACTATGGCTTGAGAGCCAGTGTTGGTCCCGTAGTACTACGCCAAAATTCTAGAGCCTTCAAATCTGGTGAAGAAAGCCAGTAGGCCTACATATGAAAGAGTGGGTCTGCGTGGTCAGTGTGCACAGTATAAAAAAAATCCTGCAGCACTGTGCATAATGAGAAAAAAAAAAAACTTCGACCATGTTTTTGGTTTAAAATAGCGACTTTGCGGTGTATTTTCATATGGTATTTATGACTATTCTCATTTTCTTGGTCTCATTTGATAGAATGGAAGATATATTACAGAAATGGAGATGATTTTGATTGGTTTCACGAAGAAAAGTTCCTTGATATTGAGCTCAAATTAGCTGAAATGTTCGATTTTTGCCAATGTTCGAGTAAACTGTCCAATTGGCTAGTCTAATATGCAGTCATGAATGGTTTGACATTAATTATACAATTATTATAATGCAATAGTCTGCACAACAGTAAATCTTCTATTTTTTGTGAGAATAAAAATTCAAAATGGAGCCTAGAGATGTGACTAATGATCAGAGGAAATGATATTTTAGTGCCAGGAATTTTTATTATTATTATCACACTGGCCGATTCCCACCAAGGCAGGGTGGCCCGAAAAAGAAAAAACTTTCACCATCATTCACTCCATCACTGTCTTGCCAGAAGGGTGCTTTACACTACAGTTTTTAAACTGCAACTTCAACACCAGGAATGTCTGCCTTATTTATTCTGGACCCTATTTGGAAATTGGCATCTTTTGAAATTTGTGTGAAATTGGCCAAATTGCCAATTTCTGACCTCTTTATTGGGCAGTTGAAATCGGTAAATGAGCGGTTTCTTGCACTCAAGCGATAGAACAAATGGAGTTCTAGCGAAATAGCTATGATTTTAATCAACTGGAACAATGGAATTGGCTGAAAATAGGGCTCAATGTGGGTGAAATAGCTGATGTGTAAATATCACCGAGATCGTTAACTTCACGAGAGCGTAATTTTTTGTAAGTTTTCCATCAAATTTCGTACTCTTTGGTGTCATAAGAAAAAATTATTTTTCTTTTTTTTTTGAAAATTTTTCAACACAGAGAGTGAGTTAAGGATCAGGTGTCTCGATACGAAAGGGTTAATGAGGTTTTACTGTATATATAAATGTATATACCAGGTAAATAAATACTGCCACTTATATACAATGTATATACATGTATATACCAGGTATATGCATATATACACCAGGTATATTTTAAATTGTGACAAAAAACTGAAATTCTCATAACACAATATTTCCACATTCGCATAAAAATAGTATCTGCTAAAAACTGAACTAATATGTGAAAAAAAGTTAATTTCAAGCACTTAAATTTAGATAAGGACATACACTGAATTGTTTCCATTTGTCATTTCAGGTTCATAAATTTACAAAAAAAAAAAAAAATTCTTACCCCCACTAGTTTTATCTAAACTTGTTTTTCTGAAAATCTTTTTTAAACTAAAAATTTTTGAGTAAAGGCTCGAATACAATAACACATATGAGATCCATATAATTCTTCTTTCAACAAACCGGCCGTATCCCACCAAGGTGGGGTGGCCCAAAAGGAAAAATGAAAGTTTCTCCTTTTACATTTAGTAATATATACAGGAGAAGGGGTTACTAGCCCCTTGCTCCCGGCATTTTAGTTGCCTCTTACAACACGCATAGCTTACGGAGGAAGAATTCTGTTCCACTTCCCCATGGAGATAAGAGGAAATAAACAAGAACTAGAAAGAAAATAGAAGAAAACCCAGATGGGTGTGTACATATATGTTTGTACATGTATGTGTAGTGTGACCTAAGTGTCAGTAGAAGTATCAAGACGTACCTGAAATCTTGCATGTTTATGAGACAGAAAAAAAGACACCAGCAATCCTACCATCATGTACAACAATTACAGGCTTCCGTTTTACACTCACTTGGCAGGACGGTAGTACCTCCCTGGGCGGTTGCTGTCTACCAACCCACTACCTAGGATCCATATAATTGTGCCCATCAATTTATTTTTTTGGGTAGTCTTTCTCAAGATGCTGCATTTATCTCCCACATAAAAAATCCATTACAAATTACAACTAAAATTCATAATTTTTCTTCATGAACATCTCAAAAAAATACAGTACTGAAAACATAATTATATGTTAATTTGTTAATGCCTCAAACATCCAAAATATAAACACTAATAAAAATTAAAATAGAGAGTATAACATAGCCTTTTGAGATCATAGGCAAAAATATTCAAAGTCATTCAAGAATTATAAAATATTGTATAATTAGTAATCATAGAATTGCAAAAAATATACAGCAGCTTTTCTTATAAAGTTAGTCTATATAGCATTTTCTAAAAATTGAAAAAAATGCATCATAAATTGAATAGTTTATACAGTATGGTAAAAACCTTGGTAATAAATACCAACAAGTCGGTTTAGAAAAATACATAAGCAAACACTAGGACATATTTATTAGAAAACGTTTCAGTCCTGGGATCTTGATCACTTCTAACATAGAGGTTGCAAGACAGCATATATAGGTGGAGAGCGAGGTGCGAGTGACGCATGGTGACCTGAAGAATGCCATGTTGGGATGGGGACGGGTAGACGATGAGATTGTGTGACTCCTATGTTGCTGGGTAGGTGGTGCTTAGCCTGCTTAAGTATCATGTATGCTAATGTTTTAGAAATTTTGTGGTTTCCAGTGTTACGTTTTATTGTGTCAGTGATGGCAATTAGCGAGGCTTCTAGACCTTAGATGCCGACGGTGTCTAGAAGCCTCGCTAATCGCTGTCACTGACACAATAGAACGTAACACTCAAAGCCACAAAATTTCTAAAACATTAGGATACATGATACCCAACCAGGCAAAGCACCACCTACCCAGCAACACAGGAGTCACATGATCTCAGTCTACCCATCCTCATCCCAACATGGCATTCTTCAGGTCACCATGCATCACTCACACCTCACTCTCTGCCTATATATACTGTCTTTCTACCTCTGTGTGTTACAAGTGATCAAGATCCCAGGACCGAAATGTTTTCTAATAAATATGTCCTAGTGTTTGCTTACGTGTTTCTCTAAACCAGTTTATCCAGTAAACCCTCAATATAACAGATTAACAGGGAGGAATCTGAGTACACAAATAAACCCCCACACATAGGAGAAAGAAACTTGTGATGACATTTTGGTCCAACTTGGACCATTAACTAGTCATCGGAACAAAACAGTCACAAGTTTCTTTCTCCTATATGCAGGTTTATTTATATGTTGTTCTAGTCATGGTATTGTGCCTTTTTGTTCTTCAGGAATCTGAATGTCCATTAAATCAGAATAACGTTAAAAAATTGCAGAAAAAATGCACTGAAGTACTCTAGTATATACCTAATACAGTACAGCCACTCCTCACTTAAAGATGGAGTTCTGTTCCTAAGATCACATCGGTAAATAAATTCATTGCTAAGCAAGGAGCATCCTATAATGTAGTGGGTTTGTGTCAATCATCTTTGATATTATTTTAATGTCACCTTTACACAATTTATAACATTTAGTATATTTTTAAATGTTTATACAGTAGTGCACTGTATACTATAATAAACAGAATAGATGAAATCTGCTGTAATATACATTATTTAGATATGCATACTGGTCAGAGCCCGTCATAAGCTCGAGTCGTCGGTAAATGAGTACATCGCTAAGTGAGGAGAGGCTGTACTGTACATATAATTTGCAGATACACTGTACTGTAAAGCTCTTTTACCATGCTATTCAATCTTGGATGAACTCTTTCAATTGCATTTACATAAAATTGCATCAGAGGAACTTTATAAGAGAGGAGACTCTAATAAGAACATAAGAACGAAGGAACACTGCAGAAGGCCTACTGGCCCATGCGAGGCAGGTCCAAGTCTCCTACCGGCTTAAGCCAATGCACCCAACCTAGTCAGGTCAGGTCACATTGACTTAAGGGAGGAACACGGCAACCGACCTGTTAGCACAAGCTATCAGGTCTAACTCACACCCACCCACATCTACTCATGTATTTATCCAACCTATTTTTAAAGCTACACAACGTTCTGGCCTCTATAACGGTACTTGGGAGTTTGTTCCACTCATCCACAACTCTATTACCAAACCAGTACTTTCCTATATCCTTCCTGAATCTGAATTTTTCCAACTTAAAAACCATTGCTGCGAGTCCTGTCTAGGCTAGATATTTTCAGCACATATTTACATCCCCTTTATTTATTCCTGTCTTCCATTTATACACCTCAATCATATCCCCCCTAATTCTACGTCTTTTCTAGAGAGTGCAGTTTCAGGGCCCTTAGTCTATCTCATAGGGAAGGTTTCTGATACATGGGATCATCTTTGTCATCCTCCTTTGTACATTTTCCAGAGAATTTATATCCATTCTGTAATACGGTGACCAAAACTGTGCAGCATAATCTAAATGAGGCCTAACCAAGGATGTATAGAGTTGAAGAACAACCTGAGGACTCCTATTATTTATGCTTCTTGATATGAAGCCAAGGATTCTATTAGCTTTATTGCGAACACTTATGCACTGTTGTCTTGGTTTCAGATTACTGCTAACCAGAACTCCTAAATCTTTTTCGCAATCCGTAATATTAAGATCTACATTATTTAGTTTATATGTGGCATGGTTATTGTCCTGTCCAACATTTAGAACTTTGCATTTGTCTATATTAAACTGCATCTGCCACTTCTCCGACCACTGCATCAGTCTATTCAAATCTTCCTGGAGTGCTCGAATGTCCTCGTCAGAATGAATTCAACGGCCTATTTTGGTGTCATCGGCAAACTTGCCGATGTCGCTCTTTATGCCCTCATCTATGTCGTTTATGTAGATTGTGAACAGCAGGGGGCCCAACACTGACCCCTGTGGAACACCGCTCGTGACGCTTCCCCACTCTGATTTCTCCCCATTTATGCAAACTCTCTGCTGCCTATTTGTCAACCATGCCTCTATCAAGGAAAAAATTTCTCCTCCTATTCCATGTGCTTTAATTTTCCTCAATAGTCTCTGATGTGGGACCCTGTCAAAAGCCTTACTGAAGTCCATATACACAATATCATATTCATTACCATGATCTACCTCCTCAAATACCTTAGTGAAAAAAGTTAATAAATTCGTAAGGCAGGAACGCCCCTTTGTAAAACCATGCTGAGATTCGTTGATTAATTTATGCTTTTCAAGATGGCTACGAACTGCCTCGGCAATTATTGATTCCATAAATTTTCCCCCCTTCCTCGCTTTATGTGGATTTATTATATGCAAATTAGTTTGTGTAGCAACTGTTTCTCATCCAAACCAGTGATTGTATACCTGGTAAAGTGTATGGTAGAGTTATTATTGAAAGAATTAAGAGTAAGACGGAGAATAGGATAGCAGATGAACAAGGAGGCTTTAGGAAAGGTAGGGGGTGTGTGGACCAGGTGTTTACAGTGAATCATATAAGTGAACAGTATTTAGATAAGGCTAAAGAGGTCTTTGTGGCATTTATGGATTTGGAAAAGGCGTATGACAGGGTGGATAGGGGGGCAATGTGGCAGATGTTGCAGGTGTATGGTGTAGGAGGTAGGTTACTGAAAGCAGTGAAGAGTTTTTACGAGGATAGTGAGGCTCAAGTTAGAGTATGTAGGAAAGAGGGAGATTATTTCCCAGTAAAAGTAGGCCTTAGACAAGGATGTGTGATGTCACCGTGGTTGTTTAATATATTTATAGATGGGGTTGTAAGAGAAGTAAATGCGAGGGTCTTGGCAAGAGGCGTGGAGTTAAAAGATAAAGAATCACACATAAAGTGGGAGCTGTCACAGTTGCTCTTTGCTGATGACACTGTGCTCTTGGGAGATTCTGAAGAGAAGTTGCAGAGGTTGGTGGATGAATTTGGTAGAGTATGCAAAAGAAGAAAATTAAAAATGAATACAGGAAAGAGTAAGGTTATGAGGATAACAAAAAGATTAGGTGATGAAAGATTGGATATCAGATTAGAGGGAGAGAGTATGGAGGAGGTGAATGTATTCAGATATTTGGGAGTGGACGTGTCAGCGGATGGGTCTATGAAAGATGAGGTGAATCATAGAATTGATGAGGGGAAAAGGGTGCACTTAGGAGTCTATGGAGACAAAGAACTTTGTCCTTGGAGGCAAAGAGGGGAATGTATGAGAGTATAGTTTTACCAATGCTCTTATATGGGTGTGAAGCATGGGTGATGAATGTTGCAGAGAGGAGAAGGCTGGAGGCAGTGGAGATGTCATGTCTGAGGGCAATGTGTGGTGTGAATATAATGCAGAGAATTCGTAGTTTGGAAGTTAGGAGGAGGTGCGGGATTACCAAAACTGTTGTCCAGAGGGCTGAGGAAGGGTTGTTGAGGTGGTTCAGACATGTAGAGAGAATGGAGCAAAACAGAATGACTTCAAGAGTGTATCTGTCTGTAGTGAAAGGAAGGCGGGGTAGGGGTCGGCCTAGGAAAGGTTGGAGGGAGGGGGTAAAGGAGGTTTTGTGTGCGAGGGGCTTGGACTTCCAGCGGGCATGCGTGAGCGTGTTTGATAGGAGTGAATGGAGACAAATGGTTTTTAATACTTGACGTGCTGTTGGAGTGTGAGCAAAGTAACATTTATGAAGGGGTTCAGGGAAACCGGCAGGCCGGACTTGAGTCCTGGAGATGGGAAGTACAGTGCCTGCACTCTGAAGGAGGGGTGTTAATGTTGCAGTTTAAAAACTGTAGTGTAAAGCACCCTTCTGGCAAGACAGTGATGGAGTGAATGATGGTGAAAGTTTTTCTTTTTCGGGCCACCCTGCCTTGGTGGGAATCGGCCAGTGTGTTAATAAAAAAAAAAAAAAAAAAGTATGACAGAGAGATGTATGTGAGTATCGAGACATTTATTAAGGATGCAGTTGGCCTGGTACAGTACAGTGCCTGTGCTCTGAAGGAGGGGGTGTTGATGTTGGAGTTTTATAACTGTAGTTATAAGAAATGGCCGATGTGTTAATAAAAAAAAAAGTTTGGCCCACGAGCAAGTTGTTCAGTCCGGTGGAAGGAGCCCCTGGTGGCCAAAAAAGTACTCTTAATAAGTGTCTTAATACTCTTTTTAGTGTCTTTCTCGCAGATCCTACTCCCATAAGGAATTCGCTATGTAAATAACTGGGTGTTTACCCTTTTTTTTCTTTGATAATATGTGATCACCCAAGAACACCACCACTCGGATTTTGAACAATATCAATTTAAATATCATACTGGTTTACAGCAACATTAATAATATAATTTTACAGTGACAGTAATAATAAACAGAAAGAAAACAGATCTGAGTATGACAAATCTTATTCTGAACAAAATCCTATTATTGGTTTCCCATTTCTTGCATTTTTTTAATACTTCCTCTAAATATTGTTCTAAACTGGTTTTATTCTAGCATTCATAAAATAGTGACAAAAAGAAAATATATTTGGGTCTGATAAATACCTCCATGGGGAAGTGGAGCAGAATTCTTCCTCCGTAAGCCATGCATGTTGTAAGAGGCGACTAAAATGCCGGGAGCAAGGGGCTAGTAACCCCTTCTCCTGTATATATTACTAAATGTAAAAGGAGAAACTTTCGTTTTTCCTTTTGGGCCACCCTGCCTCGGTGGGACACAGCCTGTGTGTTGAAAGAAGAAGAAATACAATTTAATTTTTCTACTTTATTTTTTTCTGTTATTTTATGAAAACTGTAGTATTTATTTTTGCTATGTATATTATTTTGGTGCTTCATTTGGTATTCTCATAATTTTTGGATAAAAATAAGTAGAGAAACATAGAATTACTTTCTCGGTGGGAGACGGCCGACTTGTTAAAAAAAAAAAAAAAAGAGTAGATCTGAATTATGGAATAGATTATTTCGGTTATTTTTTGACCAAATTCATTTCTTTTCTTGTACACATGTGAGGTGAGCACACATGTTTTTGGCAAACATTAGCCAAAAAATGTGAAATTGGCCTCAGAACTAATCCCAATTATCTTACAATGGGTTGAGGTTCTGCGATCTGTATGACCCTTGTCAGTTTAGCACTTAGTTTTGATTATAATAATACATACATGTAATTAGTTTCTGCAAATTCGCTTCCTGCACCACAGGCCAGGAATCACAGTGAGGGAGAAGTGTTATCAAATGTTTCCCAAGCACTACTAGACATATTATGCATACTATTACTGAATATAACAACTAAACTTCCTCTAGAAGAGTAGCTAATGATACTTTTGAATTTGTTATAGCACATAATCAGAAACTCAAGTAAAACACTTCATCATGAATGTTAAATGAACCAAGAAAATATTTTCTTCTTAGCTATTTTCTCGGAAAACCTGAAAACTCGAGAAATAAAATCCAAATACAGTGGACCCCAGGTTTACGATCAGCTCCCAATGCGACCAATTATGTAAGTGTATTTATGCAAGTGCGTTTGTATGTGTATGTTTGGGGGTCTGAAATGGACTAATCTAATTCACAATATTCCTTATGGGAACAAATTCGGTCAGTACTGGCACCTGAACGTACTTCTGGAATGAAATAATATCGTAAACCGGAGGTCCACTGTACTGTACATTCAAGAATATTACAACAATAATATTCTTAAAATACTTTGGTATCAAATTGTGTAAGAGTTTGTTTCATACACAGTTCATACTGTAATATTCATTAACCAACAAATAATACTTTTCCTTGAAGATGCTCCACTTGGATGTACCATGTGACTCATTCTCACTTCATACAGATAAGCAGGTATAAAATGACATTGCAATCATTTACATACAATAAATTCATACTCAGACAGTTCCCTCCTTAAACCTGATAGTCTCAGGTGGGTCGCGACGTCGAGATTTCCGCGAATTCTTCCTGTCGATGTCCTCGTGTTTTACCATAAATTCATAGAGTTCTTTGTCTGCTACCAAGTCCCTTCCATCTGTAGTGTCGTATGTATTGTAATCATCAGAGAAACACAGGAATAATGTGTCAACTGCCATCTGAAATGTGTAAACAGTGTGTATAAACATATATACATGTATGTATATGCAAAAAGATCACAGTAAACAATTTATATCAAAATATGCAAAAAAAAACCACTGTAATACCTTAGTATTATGAATACATCCACTTCTCACTTAATGATGGAGTTCTGTTCCTAAGACCACGTAGGTAAACGAATGCATTGTTAAATTAGGAGCATACTATAATGGTAATGGGTTTATGTCAACCATCTTCGATATTGTTTTAATATCACCTTTGCACCATTTATAATATTTCTGGTATATTTTTAAACGTTTATACAGTAATGTACTGTATATTGTAATAAACAGAATAGAGGAAATCAGCCCTAATATATATTATTTAGGTATGCATACTGGTCAGAGCCCATCATAAGTCTGAGTCATCAGAAAACAAGTACGTACATCGCTAAGTGAGGAGAGACTGTATTTACATGCTAATTTTGTTATTAAACAAGAATTAAAGTGGAAATTGTTGATGAAGTTATGAGTTGCAGCAGCTTTTAATTTCTAGGCCTCTATATCTTGTACATGTACTTGTAGTAAATAAAGATATTATTATTATTATTATTATTATTATTATTATATTCATTTCACTACCAATTTAAAACAAATTGAAATGCTTTTCTAAGTTGCAGTTATCCAAAGCATGTGTAAGCATGTTAGATAGGAGCAAATGGAGACAAATGGCTTTTAGGACTTGACGTGCTGTTGGAGTGTGAGCAGGGTAATAATTATGAAGGGATTCAGGGAAACCGGCAGGTTGGACTTGAGTCCTGGAGATGGGAAGTACAGTGTCTGCACTCTTAAGGAGGGGTGTTAATGTTGCAATTTTATAGCTGTAGTGTAAGCGTGCCTCTGGCAAGACAGTGATGAAGTGAATGATGGTGAAAGTTTTTCTTTTTCGGCCCACTCTACCTTGGCGGGAAACGGCCAATGTGTTAATAAAATATAAATAAATATTACAATATAGCAGTGGGTTGTTGAGGTGGTTTGGTCATTTAGAGAGAATGGATCAAAGTAGAATGACATGGAGAACGTACAAGTCTGTAGGGAAAGGAAGGTGGGGTAGAGGTTGTCTTCGAAAAGGTTGGAAGGAAGGGGTAAGGGAGGTTTTGTGGGTGAGGGGCTTGGGCTTCCAGCATTCATGCATGAGCGTGTTAGATAGGAGTGAATGGAGAGGAATGGTATTTGGGACCTAATGATCTGTTGGAGTGTGAGCAGGGTAATATTTAGTGAAGGGATTCAGGAAAACCGGTTATTCTTATATAGCCGGACTTGAGTCCTGGAAATGGGAAGTACAATGCCTGCACTCTAAAGGAGGGGTTCGGGATATTAGCAGTTTGGAGAGATATATTGTGTATCTTTATACGTACATGCTTCTAAACTGTTGTGTTCTGAGCACCTCTGCAAAAAACAGTGATTGTGTGTGAGTGAGGTGAAAGTGTTGAATGATGATGAAAGTATTTTCTTTTTGGGGATTTTCTTTCTTTTTGGGTCACCCTGCCTCGGTGGGAGATGGCCGACTTGTTAAAAAAAAAAAACTGACCTGAATGAGCAATGTAAAATCCAAAACATGAACGAAGTTATAAAGTATGTAATATTAAATGAACGGAAAGAACATGTATAAATTGACTGAGTGTACAAAATATGTACTGTAATAATAATGAAGTAGAAAAATGTCTCCATTGGGAAGTGGAAAAAAATTCGTCCTCCATAAGTAATAATAATATAATATCTTTATTTACTACAAGTACATTTACATGTATAGCAAGCATGCGTGAGTGTGTTAGATAGGAGTGAATGGAGACGAATGGTATTTGGGACCTGATGAGCTGCTGGAGTGTGAGCAGGGTAATATTTCGTGAAGGGATTCAAGGAAACTGGTAATTTTTATACAGCTGGACTTGAGAACTGGAAATGGGAAGTACAATACCTGCACTTTAACCCTTTCAGGGTTGAGAGGCCCTCTCCTAAACTCGTTCTCAGGGTCGAAAATTTTTCAGAAAAAAAAAAGAAAAAAAAAAATTCTTATGAAATGATAGAGAATCTTTTCTCAATCATAATGACACCAAAAGTACATGTATCAAATTTGATGGAAAACTTACAGAATTATGCTCTCTCGAAGTTAGCAGTCTCGATGATGAAGAATTGAGACACTTATGCAACACATAGGAATCTTTATTGAAGAAACGTTTCGCCACACAGTGGCTTCATCAATCCAATACAAAGTAGAAATGGGTAAGGAGAGGAGAAGTTTGAGGTAATCAGTCCATCACTCTTGTAGGAAAAAAAAAAAAAAAAAAAAAAAAAGAGATAAAGATAAAGATTCCCATGTGTTGCATAAGTGTCTCAATTCTTCAACTCGTCGGTTTTCTAAACCATTCATCACACAGTCTCGATGACGTTTACGCATCAGCGATTTTGCCCACTTTGAGCCCTATTTTCAGCCAGTTTCAGTGTACTAGTCGACAAAAATCATATCAATTTCACTAGAACTCCAATTTTTCTATCGAATGAGTACAAGAAACCAACCATTTACCAATTTCAACTATCCAATAAAATGGTCAGAAATTGGCAATTTTGCCAATTTCACACAAATTTCAGAAGATGCCAATTTCCAAATAGGGTCCAAAATAAACAAGACAAACATTCCTGGCACTAAAATAAAATTTTCTCTGTTCATCAGTCATGTCCCCACGCCCCTCTTACATCTCTTTTGCTTTCCATTTTGAATTTTTATTCTCACAAAAAAATAGATTTACTGTTATGCAGACTACTGCATTAGTGTAGAAATGGTATAAATAATATCAGCGCACTTGTGAAAGAATATTAGACTAGCCAGTTGACGTGTATTGGACGCTTGGCATGATTTGTTTACTTTTGAACTTTGGTAAAAATCGAACATTTCTGCTACTTTGAGCTCAATTTCAACGTACTTTTCTTTATGAAACCAATCAAAATCACCTCAATTTCTGTAATATGTCTTCCATTCTATAAAATGAGACCAGGAAAACTAAAATACAATCATAAATACCATACAAAAATACACTGCAAAGTCGCTGTTTTAAACCAAAAACATGGTCGGAGTTTTTTTTTCTCATGCACTGTGTGCTGCAGGAGTTTTTTTATACTGTGCACATTGACCACATAGACCCATTCTTTCATATGTAGGCCTACCAGCTTTCTCTCACTAGATTTGAAGGCACTAGAATTTAGGCGTACTAGTACTTCACAAATCCTGGTGCATAAGCCGTACTAGTACGTCGGAAACCCTTAAAGGGTTAAAGGAGGGGTTTGGGATATTGACAGTTTGGAGGGATATGTTGTGTATCTTTATATGTATATGCTTCTAAACTGTTGTATTCTGGGCACCTCTGCAAAAACAGTGATTATGTATGAGTGAGGTGAAAGTGTTGAATGATGATGAAAGTATTTTCTTATTGGGGATTTTCTTTCTTTTTGGGTCACCCTGCCTCGGTGGGAGATGGCCAACTTGTTAAAAAAAAAAAAAAAAAGTACAGTGGACCCCCGCTTAACGATCACCTCCAAATGCGACCAATTATGTAAGTGTATTTATGTAAGTGCGTTTGTACGTGTATGTTTGGGGGTCTGAAATGGACCAATCTACTTCACAATATTCCTTATGGGAAAAAATTCGGTCAGTACTGGCACCTGAACATACTACTGGAATGAAAAAAGTTTGTTAACCGGGGGTCCACTGTACATGGCATACAGGCCTAGCTGACATCAATGACCCACTACTATATAGAAAGCCATTTGTTATGCTGAGCATTTCGGGCAAATTAGGTCGGTTCTATCCCAGGATGCGACCCACACCAGTCGACTAACACCCAGGTACCCATTTTAACCCTTTCAGGGTTTCAGCCGTACTAGTACGGCTTACGCACCAGGGTTTTTGACGTACTAGTACGCCTAAATTCTAGCACCCTCAAATCTAATGAGAGAAAGCTGGTAGGCCTCCATATGAAAGAATGGGTCTATGTGGTCAGTGTGCGCAGTATAAAAAAAATCCTGCAGCACACAGTGCGTAATGAGAAAAAATAAAACTTTGACTGTGTTTTTGGATTAAAACAGCGACTTTGCACTGTATTTTCATATGGTATTTGTTGTTGTATTCTAGTTTTCCTGGTCTCATTTTATAGAATGGAAGACATATTACAGAAATTGAGATGATTTTGACTGGTTTTACAATGAAAAGTACCTTGAAATTGAGCTCGAAGTAGCAGAAATGTTTGATTTTTAGCAAAGTTCAAAAGCAAACAAATCATGCTATGTGTCCAATACATGTCAACTGGTGAGTCTAACATTCTTTCACAAGTGCACTGATATTATTTATACCATTTCTACACTAATGCAGTAGTCTGCATAACAGTAAATCTTCTATTTTTTTGTGAGAATAAAAATTCAAAGTGGAAAGCAAAAGAATGTAAGAGGGGCGTGGGGGGCGTGACTAATGAACAGAGGAAATGTTATTTTAGTGCCAGGAATGTCTTTCTTGTTTATTCTGGACCCTATTTGGAAATTGGCATCTTTTGAAATTTGTGTGAAATTGGCAAAATTGCTAAATTCTGACCACTGTATTGGATAGTTGAAATTGGTAAATGGGTGGTTTCTTGTACTCATTCGATAGAAAAAAATGTTCTAACAAAATAGTTATGATTTTTGTCGACTAGTACACTGGAATTGGCCGAAAATAGGGCTCAAAGTGGGCAAAATCGCTGAAGCGTAAACATCATCGAGACCGCTAACTTCGCAAGAGCATAATTCCGTAAGTTTTCCATCAAATTTCATACTTTTGGTGCCATTATGATCGGGAAAAGATTCTCTATCTTTTCATAAGAAAAAATAATTTTTTTTTTTTTGAAATTTGGCCGACCCTGAGAACAAGTCTCTGAGAGGGCCTGTCGACCCTGAAAGGGTTAAACTGATGGGTGAACAGGGACAGGGACTGCAGGTGTCTTATGCAACACGTCCCTAATGTTTTCCAGGTGTACCGGAGGAGATTTGAACTCCAGACCTCAGTGTGTGAGCTGAGTGCGCTAGCAATCGAGCTACAGGACACCACATGCATGTCATAAGAGGCGACTAAAATACCAGAAGCAAGAGGCTAGTAACCCCTTACGTATAAATTACTAAATTTAAAAAGAAAAGCTTTTATTATTAAATTTAGGGTGACCTAAAAAGAAAAACTTTCATTTTTTTTTTTTAGGTCACCCTGCCTTGGTAGGATATGATTGGTGTGTTGAAGAAAAAAAACAGTAAAAAAAATTAAGCCTTTGTTGCCTGTAAGTTACATAAGAACATTTATTATATTAGCAAGATAAAAGTTTTACAGAATAAATTTCTAATAAATTACCAAAGGAAAATTGCATATTGTCCGAGTAGACAAACTGTCAGGGCACTGTATTTCCTTTTATAAATAAATTACACTGACAAAATAAGGCATAATTCATACCTCATACACAGAAAAGACACAATGTGTGATGAAGAATGCAAAGACAGCAGTGACGATGAGTGGTATTGCATACAGGTGAAGTGTTGGATCAGCATGAAGTACCGGGAGGGCTATACAACACACTGTCCCAGTAACGGCAACTTTGGCCAAAAACAGCATCAAGTCCCCAACACTGTTGACCGTGGCCACCTGTAGCATGTTGGTCAACACCACACGCCATGCCTGCAAAAAAAAAGTATATTGTAAATAAAGCATTCTAATGCAGATATGAACATTTTCAGGGGTCGCTAGGCAAATTTATTGCTAGATTGTAGGCCATTTTTTTAAATTTGAGGTTAACCCTTTCAGGGTTGGCAGGCCCTCTCCTAAACCTGTTCTCAGGGTCAGAAATTTTTCGAAAAAACAAAAAAATTATTTTTTCTTATGAAATGAGAGAGAATCTTTTCTCGATCATAATAACACCAAAAGTATGAAATCTGATGGAAAACTTACGGAATTATGCTCTCGCGAAGTTAGCGGTCTAGGCGATGTTTACGCATTGGTGATTTCGCCCACATTGAGCCCTATTTTCGTCCAATTCCAATGTACCAATCAACAAAAATGAAAATGATTTCGCTAGAACTGCATTTTTTCTATCGATCGAGTACAAGAAACCACCCATTTACCAATTTCAACTATCCAATAAAGTGGTCAGAAATTGGCAATTTTGCCAATTTCATTCAAATTTCATAATATGCCCATTTCCAAATAGGGTCCAGAATAAACAAGACAGACATTCCTGACACTAAAATATCATTTCCTCTGTTTATTAGTCACATCCCCAGGCCTCTGTTACAGTTCTTTTACTTTCCACTTTGAATTTTTATTCTCACAAAAAATAGAAGATTTACTGTTATGCTGACTACTGCTCTAGTGAAGAAATGGTGTAAAAATGGTATAAATAATATCAGCGCACTTGTGAAAGAATATTAGACTCGCCAGTTGACATGTATTAGACGCATGGCATGATTTGTTTGTTTACTTTTGAACTTTGGCAAAAATCGAACATTTCTGCTACTTTGAGCTCAATTTCAATGTACTTTTCATTGTGAAGCCAATCAAAATCATCTCAATTTCTATAATATGTCTTCCATTCTATAAAATGAGACCAGGAAAACTAGAATACAACCATAAATAGCATACGAAAATACACTGCAAAGTCGCTGTTTTAAACCAAAAACACATTTGGAGTTTTTTTTTTACCATTATGCACTGTGTGCTGCAGGATTTTTTTTTTATACTGCGCACACTGACCACAAAGACCCATTCTTTCATATGTAGGGCTACCAGCTTTCTCTTGCTAGATCTGAAGGCGCTAGAATTTATGCGTACTAGTACGGCACCAACCCTGAAAGGGTTAAAAACACAGATTAAGCTGGTTTAGAAAGACACGTAATCATACACTACGACATACATATTTATTAGAAAATGTTTCGGTCCTGGGATCTAGATCACTTCTAACATACAGAGGTAGAAAGACATTATATATAGGAGGAGAGTGAGGTGTGAGTGATTCATGGTGACCTGAAGAATGCCATGTTGGGACGAGGATGGGTAGACAACGAGATCATGTGACACTTTTGTTGCTGGGTCGGTGGTGCTTAGCCTGCTTGAGTATCATGTATGCTACTGTTTTAGAAATTTTGTGGTTTCCAGTGTTATGTTCTATTGTGTTGGTGATGGCAATTAGCAAGGCTTCTAGGCACCGTCGGTGTCTGTGGTCTGGGTTGGTGAGAACGAGCTGTGCCTCATCCCAGTTCATCAAATGCCCAGTGGAGTCTCTGTGGAGGACACAGGCGTACCTTAAATCGTCTCTGTTACAGGCACTTTGATGCTCCTTCAGTTCAGACATCAAAGTGCTTGTAATAGATTTAAGGTATGCCTGTGTCCTCCACAGAGACTCCATGGGGCATTTGATGAACTGGGATGAGGCACAACTCGTTCTCACTGAACCAGACCTCAGACGCCGATGGTGCCTAGAAGCCTCGCTAATCGCCGTCACCTATACAATAGAATGTAACACTGGAAACCACAAAATTTTTAACATTAGCAAACATGATACTCAAGCAGGCTAAGCACCACCAATCTCATCATCTACCCATCCTCATCCCAACATGGTATTCTTCAGGTCACCATGCGTCACTCACACCTCACTCTCTGCCTATACATAATGTCTTTCTACCTCTGTATGTTAGAAGTGATCAAGGTTCCAGGACCGAAACGTTTTCTAATAAATATGTCAGTGTTTGCTTGTGTGTCTTTCTAAACCAACTTGTCGGTATTTATTACGAAGCTGCATAGTTTTTTAGGTTTAAGTAAATCGCACAGGTGCTCTTTGACTTATGATGGGGTTACTTTCCGACAAACCCATCATAAGTCGAATGTGAATAATTTTTGTTTTTAACATGGCCGTTTCCCACCAAGGCAGGGTGACCCAAAAAGAAAGAAAAAATTTTCATCATCATTCAACACTTTCACCAATACTCATACATAATAATAATCACTGTTTTTGCCGAGGCATCTGTCAATTTCTTCACATGATACTGTCAACATAATTACTGATGCTTATCACAAACAATCTGCAATTTAGAGTGGAACTATTAGACTGTATTGTTGTGTTCTAGAAAATTATCAAGACCAATAGCATTACCGGGATGGACCAAAACATTGTTTATAATTTCCTCTCAAAACTTTAGACTACTTGCAAATTGTTCACGCCAAGCTACTGTAGCTTTCTTCTACTAGAGCTTTGTGTTACTTATATCAGTACCCTCATGGAAAAATTTTTTCATATATTTACAATAGAATACTCACAATTTTGGCAGAGGTGCAGAAAGCAGTGCCTCTGGTAGCAGTTACAGTGTAAGCATTGTGGTTCATGTACTTGAGGAAGTGTTCAAAGCACCACAAACAACAACAACACAGTCGAAGACAACACCGTGCACAACTGTGCTCTGGATCTTTGCACCTGAGGATGATGTAAATATACCTATGTACTCATATACATGTACCCTTATACAATATATTTCTTTCTTTCAACACACCAGCCGTATCCCACCAAGGCAGGGTGGCCCAAAAAGAAAAACTTAAGTTTCTCTTTTAAATTTAGTAATTTATACGTGAGAAGGGGTTACTAGCCCCTTGCTCCCGGCATTTTAGTCGCCTCTTACAACACGCATGGCTTACGGAGGAAGAATTCTGTTCCATTTCCCCATGGAGATGAGAGGAAATAAACAAGAACAAGAACTAGAAAGAAAATAGAAGAATACCCAGAGGGGTGTGTACATGTATGTGTAGTGTGACCTAAGTGCAAGTAGAAGTAGAAAGACATACCTGAAATCTTGCATGTTTATGAGACAGACAAAAGATACCAGCAATCCTACCATCATGTAAAACAATTACAGGTTTTCATTGTACACTCACTTGGCAGGACGGTAGTACCTCCCTGGGCGGTTGCTGTTTACCAATCTACTACCTAGGATAATATATATATATATATATTTTTTTTTTTCAACAAGTCGGCCGTCTCCCACCGAGGCAGGGGGACCCAAAAAGAATGAAAATCCCCAAAAAGAAAATACTTTCATCATCATTCAACACTTTCACCTCACCCACACATAATCACTGTTTTTGCAGAGGTGCTCAGAATACAACAGTTTAGAAGTATATACATATAAAAAATACACAATATATCCCTCCAAACTGTCAATATCTCAAACCCCTCCTTTAGAGTGCAGGCATTGTACTTCCCATTTCCAGGACTCAAGTTCAGTTATATAAAATAACCTGTTTTCCTGAATCCCTTCACTAAATATTACCCCGCTCACACTCCAACAGCTCGTCAGGTCCCAAATACCATTTGTCTCCATTCACTCCTATCTAACACGCTCACGCCCGCTTGCTGGAAGTCCAAACCCCTCGCCCACAACACCTCCTTTAACCCCCTCCTTCCAACCTTTTCGAGGACAACCCCTACCCCGCCTTCCTTCCCCTACAGATTTATGTGCTCTCCGTCATTCTACTTTGATCCATTCTCTCTAAATGACCAAACCACCTCAACCCTCCTCAGCCCTCTGACTAATACTTTTATTAACTCCACACCTTCTCCTAATTTCCACACTCCTAATTCTCTGCATAATATTTACACCACACTTTGCCCTTAGACAGGACATCTCCACTGCCTCCAACCGTCTCCTCGCTGCTGCATTCACAACCCAAGCTTCATACCCATATAAGTGTTGTTACCACCATACTTTCATATATTCCCTTCTTTGCCCCCATAGAAAATGTTTTTTGTCTCCACATATACCTCAATGCTCCACTCACCTTTTTTCCTTCATCAATTCTATGGTTAACTTCACCCTTCATACATCCATCCACTGACACGTCAACTCCCAAATATCTGAAAACATTCACTTCTTCTATACTCCTCCTCTCCTATTTCATATCCAATTTTTCTTTATCTAAATCATTTGATACCCTAATCACCTTACTCTTTTCCATGTTCACTTTCAACTTTCTACCTTTACACACACTCCCAAACTCGTCCACTAACCTTTGCAATTTTTCTTTAGAATCTCCCATAAGCACAGTATCATTAACAAAAAGTAACTGTGTCAATTCTCATTTGTATTTGATTCCCCATAATTTAATCCCACCCCTCTCCCCAACACCCTAGTATTTACTTCTTTTACAACCCCATCTATAAATATATTAAACAACCATGGTGACATTACACATCCCTGTCTAAGACCCACTTTTACCGGGAAGTATTCTCCCTCTCTTCTACACATCCTAACCTGAGCCTCACTATCCTCATAAAAACTCTACAGGATTTAGTAACTTACTACCTATTCCATATACAGTGGACCCTCGAGTTTTGGCAGCCTCGACTTTCGTGAAATTCGACCTTCAGTGAGTTTTTTTGGAAAAATTTGGCCTCGAGTTTCGTGAAAAAACTCGTGTTTCGGCGACCGTCCGGTACCCGTCCGCCCGTCACCGGGCACACAAAGCCAGTCTCCCACACCATTCACACTCAGTATGCCATTGTTTACCAACACGTGACCATCACCCCGCGGGTTCATACGTAATAATCCATTGTTTTTTGTGATTACAACTGCTAAATAAGTCACCATGAGCCCAAGGAAAGCTAGTGCAAGCCCATTGGTAAAGAAAGTGAGAAACACGATCAAATTCAAGAAGGAAATCATTGAAAAATATGAGAGTGGAGTGCGTGTTACAGAGCTTGCCAGGATGTATGGCAAGCCCCATTCAACCATCACTTCGATCGTGGCGAAAGTAAAGGAAATAAAGTGTGCTGTTGTTGCAAAAGGGGTGGATATGCTGACAAAGGTTGGTTTGAGAGATTTAAGAAGCGTAGTGGCATTCACAGTGTGATAAGGCATGGTAAGGCTGCCAGTTCTGACAAAAAAGCAGCTGAGAAGTTTGTACGGGAGTTTAAGGAGTGCGTAGACACTGGAGAATTCAAACCCCAGCAAGTGTTTAATTGTGACGAAACAGGCCTCTTCTGGAAGAAAATGCCAAAGAGGACCTACATCACGCAGGGGGAAACTGCACTCCCAGGACACAAGCCTATGAAAGACAGGCTTACTCTCATGTTTTGTAGTAATGCTAGTGGGGATTTTAAAGTGAAACCTTTACTGGTGTATCACTCTGAAAATCCCAGAGTGTTCAAGAAATACAGTGTTGCCAAGAGTAATTTGTATGTGATGTGGAAGGCTAACAGTAAGGCATGGGTCACAAGGGGAATTTTCCCAGACTGGTTTAATGAAGTGTTTGGCCCCAGTGTGAAGAAATACCTCCTGGAAAATAAATTGCCACTGAAGTGCCTCCTGGTAATGGACAATGCTCCTGCTCATCCTCCAGACTTGGAAGAGCAAATAGTGGAGGAGTTTAGTTTCATCACGGTGAAGTTCTTGCCTCCTAATACCACTCCTCTCCTCCAGCCCATGGAGCAGCAGGTCATTTCAAACTTCAAAAAAACTCTACACCAAAGCAGTGTTTCAGAAGTGCTTTGAAGTGACCTCAGACACTGAACTGACCCTAAGAGAGTTCTGGAAAGATCACTTTAATATCCTCCATTGCATAAACCTTATAGGTAAGTCTTAGGAGGGAGTGACTTCCAGGACTTTGAACTCTGCTTGGAGAAATTTGTGGCCAGACTGTGTACAAGAGAGGGATTTTGAAAGGTTTGTGGCTGACCCTAAGGAGCCTATGCCAGTTGTGGAAACTATTGTGGCATTGGGGATGTCCCTGGGGTTGGTGAGTGGTGAGGATGTGGAAGAGTTGGTGGAGGGCCACAGGGAAGAGCTAACCACTGAAGAGCTGCAAGAGCTTCATCTGCAACAGCAACAGATCACAGCTCAGGAAACTGCTGCAGAGGAGGAGGAAGAGAGATGGAGGAAGGTGCCTTCTTCAAAGATTAAGGACATTTGTGGAAAGTGGACTGAAGTGCAAACATTTATGGATGAACTTCACCCTAACAAAGCTGTTGCAGGCCATATTGGCAACATGTACAATGACAGTGTTGTGTCCCACTTCAGGGAAATCTTAAGAAATGCCAGAAACAGACCTCTCTGGACAGATATTTTATGCGACAGGGGTCCAGTGACTCTCAAGCTGGTCCCAGTGGCATTAAAAGAAGAAGGAAGTAACCCCAGATATGGACTTAATACCTGAAGTCCTAATGGAAGGAGATTCTCCTTCCAAAAAATAGTGTACTCCTTCCTCCTATCCCCTCCTCCCGTCTTCCATCTACACAGAAGTCTTCAGTAAAGGTAAGTGTAATGTTATTATTATTTTTTAAATGCATGTACTTGATTTCTGATTGTTTTCATTATGTAAATCTTTATTTAATTTGAAAAAAAAAAAAAAAAAAAATTATTTTAATATTTTTGGGTGTCAGGAACGGATTAATTTTATTTCCATTATTTCTTATGGGGAAAATTAATTTGCTTTTCATGAATTTCGACCTTCGGCGGGCTCTCTGGAACAGATTAATCACGAAACTCGGGGGTCCACTGTACTTGCAACATCTGCCACATTGCTCCCCTATCCACTCTATCATATGCCTTTTCTAAATCCATAAATGCAATGAAAACTTCCCTACCTTTATCTAAATACTATTCACACATATGCTTCAATGTAAACACTTGATCTACACATCCCCTACTCACTCTAAATCCTCCTTGCTCATCCACAATCCTACATTCTGTCTTGCCTCTAATTCTTTCAATAATAACCATACCATACACTTTTCTTGGTATACTAAGTAAACTTATTCCTCTATAATTTTTACAATCTCTTTTGTCCCCCCTTCCCTTTATATAAAGGAATTACACATGCTCTCTGCCAATCCCTAGGTACCTTCCCCTCTTTCATACTTTTTTTTTTTTTCAACAAGTCGGCCGTCTCCCACCGAGGCAGGGTGACCCAAAAAAGAAAGAAAATCCCTAAAAAGAAAATACTTTCATCATCATTCAACACTTTTACCACACTCACACATTATCACTGCTTTTGCAGAGGTGCTCAGAATACAACAGTTTAGAAGCATATACGTATAAAGATACACAACATATCCCTCCAAACTGCCAATATCCCAAACCCCTCCTTTAAAGTGCAGGCATTGTACTTCCCATTTCCAGGACTCAAGTCCGACTATATGAAAATAACCGGTTTCCCTGAATCCCTTCACTAAATATTACCCTGCTCACACTCCAACAGATCGTCAGGTCCCAAGTATCATTTGTCTCCATTCACTCCTATCTAACACGCTCATGCACGCTTGCTGGAAAAAATACCAACAACTCCAACACTATATCCCCCCCTGCTTTTAAAATTACTGTCATGATCCTGTCAGTTCCAGCTGCTTTACCCCCTTTCATTCTAAGTAATGCTACATACACCTCCCCCACACTCACATCCTGCTCTTCTTCACTCCTAAAAGATGGTATACCTCCCTGGCCAGTGAATGAAATTACCGCCCCCCTTTCTTCGTCGACATATAAAAGTTCCATCTACCCAATACCTCCAGCTCCCCATCTACTAACTCCCCTACTCTGTTTTTAACTGACAAATCCATTCATTCCCTAGTACAATATATGAAAAGACATCAAATTTAACAATAATATGACAAAAGCTAAAATGTTAGAGAACATGGTATCCTCCAAGAAAAAATACCATTTATATTTTTCAAATCTTGCCTTGTCAAGGGATTAATACTTACACTAATTCTGTTATTGGTCAAGGGGAATAAAACCGGAACCACTGGGTGAGTAGTGCAGAGTCTTGCTTGTAGTTAGAATAGACATTACTGCTGAAGCTGTGGGAATGTGTAATTATAGCATAATGTATAATGCTTTGGCTGACTGATTTTAATGCATATGTAATGTTCTCTTCCAATGTTTTATACAATGAGTTGTTGGAGTGTGAGCAGGATAATATTTTGTGAAGGGATTCAGGGAAACCGGTTAGCTGGATTTGAGTCCTGGAAATGGGAAGTACAATGCCTGCTTAAAGGAGGGGTTTGGGATACTGGCTGTTTAGAGGAACATCTAAACTGTTATATCTGAGTGTGTCTGCAAAGACAATGATTATGTATGAATGATGGTGGAAGTGATGAATGATGAAATTTTTTCTTTCTTTTTGGGCTTTTCTTTCTTTTTGGGCTTTTCTTTCCTTTTGGGCTTTTCTTTCTTTTTAAGTCACCCCTGCCTTGGTGGGAAATGGCCGACATGTTAAAAAAAAAAAAATTCTAATAAACTAGAACCTCTTCTCTTCCTATGGTTTATATATGCATGAGAGATCAACATAAAGTTATGCATACAAATTATGAAATTAAAAGAGAAGCATAAATTAAAATGCCATAAATTAAATTGCATACAAGAAAAAATATTCACTGACTGGGAGCAAAGGGCTGGTAACCCCTTCTCCTGTATAAATTACTAAATTTAAAATGAAAAAAAGAAAAAAGTTTTTCTTTTTTACGTCACTGCCTCGGTGGGTTGAAAGAAAATAATTTATATTGATGGAGAAGCATGTGTAAGCATTTAACCAGTAAGGACAATATAATGCCTGGGAAATAAAAGGGAATCAGGGTTAATTAAAGGGAAGGGGTACTTCCAATTCCTTGAATCAAGGGCTTTTATCAACATCAAGGCACCTCCCACGAAATCAATTTAGATTTAAATACTAAATTGAGATGTCTGTGCACTTCTGGCAAACGGCTATTAACCCTTTGAGGGTTTCGGACGTACTAGTACGTCTTACGCGCAGGGGTTTTTGATGTACTAGTACGCATAAATTCTAGCGCTCTTAAATCTCGCGGGAAAAGGCTGGTAGGCCTCCATTTGAAAGAATGGGTCTATGTGGTCAGTGTGCACAGTATAAAAAAATCCTGCAGCACACAGTGCATAATGAGAAAAAAACTTTCACCGTTTTTTTGGCATAAAACAGCAACTTTGCAGTGTATTTTCGTATGGTTATTTATTGTTGTATTCTAGTTTTCGTGGTCTCATTTTATAGAATGGAATGCATGTCACAGAAATTGAGATGATTTTCACTGGTTTTACAATGAAAAGTACCTTGAAATTGAGCTCAAAGTAGCAGAAATGTTCGATTTTTACCAAAGTTCAAAAGTAAACAAATCATGCCAAGCGTCCAATACACGTCAATTGGTGAGTCTAACATTCTTTTGCAAGTGCGCCAATATGATTTATACCATTTTTTACACTAATGCAGTAGTCTGCATAACAGTAAATCTTCTATTTTTCGTGAGAATAAAAATTCAAAGTGGAAAGCAAAAGAATGTAAGAGGGGCCTTGAGACGTGACTAATGAACAGAAGAAATGTCATTTTAGTGCCAGGAATGTATTTCTTGTTTGTTCTGGACCCTATTCGGAAATTGGCATTTTTTTAAATTTGTGTGAAATTGGCAATATTGCTAATTTCTGACCATTGTATTGGATAGTTGAAAATGGTAAATGGGTGGTTTCTTGCACTCATTCAATAGAAAAAATGTAGTTCTAGCGAAATATTTGTTTTTTGTCGACTAGTACAGAGGAATTGGCCAAAAATGGGGCTCAAATTGGGCAAAATCGCCGATGTGTAAACATCGCCGAGACCGCTAACTTCGCGAGAGCATAATTCCGTAAGTTTTCCATCAAATCTCATAATTTTGGTGTCATTATGATCGGAAAAAGATTCTCTATCTTTTCAAAAGAAAAAATAATTTTTTTTTTTAAATTTGGCCAACCCTGAGGACGAGTTTCTGAGAGGGCCTGTCGACCCTCAAAGGGTTAAATGAGTAACGATGAAAATGTTTTCTTTGAATCAGCTCCCCATAAAGGTTCCTTGATGTTGGTGAGGGGCTCTTGATCCAAGGAATTAGACAAATTCTCCAATTCCTTAAATCAAGCCTGAATACCTTCCATTCCCCAAGGCACTGTATAACCCCTATGGGTTTAGTGTTCCCTCCATGAATATAATCAACTGAACTTGGTGAGGAAAATGAGAAATATGGTTAAAAAAAAAAAAAAAAATGAACTTACTTCTTGGTGACCCACTGTATGATCAATCTTGGCAGCTTACAGATAGTGATGAGCAATGAGCCTTTTGCCACAGTGCCTAAATGGTAGAGCAACAACGTCCGCCACGACCACCATACCGGGTGCCTCACCTTCCCTCGGCCCTCCTGTCTGTAGAAACCAGTTAAACAATTAGACACTGAATAATCACCAAGCTGAATCCATCTCCACAGCAATAATAAATAAATAAATAAAAGTAAATTTTCCACCATATACAGAACATCTAGGTAGGTACAAATAGGAAGCACATCTTTCTCATGCTCAGCAGACAGAGGATCAAGCCTACACCACATATCCCAATTACATACGTACATGGGTTTAGCACTTAACATTAATTAATTCACCATATATATATATGCAAGTCTTGTTAGAGCATCATCAACAATATCCTCTTTAATATATAAAGAGAGGGTACACTATAAACCCTTTGACTGTTTTGGTCGTATATATACATCTTACAAGCCAATGTGTTTGACATATATACAGTGGACCCTCGACCAACGATGGCATCGATTAACGATAAATCCGACTAGCGATACATTTTAACGCAAAAATTTTGCCTCAACTAGCGCTAAAAAACCCGACCAACGCTATTCGTTCCGTTTAAGACGCGTCCACCGCGGTCGCTTCAAAACATACAATTTGAACATTTAATATTATCACAGCCTTTGTAGCGATTGCACCTGCAAAATAAGTCACCATGGGCCCCAAGAAAGCTTCTAGTGCCAACCCTACAGCAAAAAGGGTGAGAATTACTATGGAGATGAAGAAAGAGATCATTGCTAAGTATGAAAGTGGAGTGCGTGTCTCCAAGCTGGTCAGGTTGTATAGTAAACCCCAATCAACCATCGCTACTATTGTGGGCAAGAAAACGGCAATCAAGGAAGCTGTTCTTGCCAAAGGTGCAACAATGTTTTTGAAACTGACATCGCAAGTGACAGAAGATGTTGAGAGACTCTTATTGGTGTGGATAAACAAAAAACAGATAGCAGGAGATAGCATCTCTCAAGCGATCATATGTGAAAAGGCTAGGAAGTTGCATGACGATTTAATTAAAAAAATGCCAGCAACTAGTGGTGATGTGAGTGAATTTAAGGCCAGAAAAGGGATATCTTGCTACTCCTACTTACACTTTGGTCACACTTCACAGACATGCACATGCATATATAGCACATATATATATACATACATCTAGGTTTTTCTCCTTTTTCTAAATAGCTCTTGTTCTTCTTTATTTCTTCTATTGTCCATGGGGAAGTGGAAAAGAATCTTTCCTCCGTAAGCCATGCGTGTCGTATGAGGCGACTAAAATGCCGGGAGCAATGGGCTAGTAACCCCTTCTCCTGTAGACATTTACTAAAAAAGAGAAGAAGAAAAACTTTATAAAACTGGGATGCTTGAATGTGCGTGGATGTAGTGCGGATGAAAAGAAACAGATGATTGTTGATGTTATGAATGAAAAGAAGTTGGATGTCCTGGCCCTAAGCGAAACAAAGCTGAAGGGGGTAGGGGAGTTTCAGTGGGGGGAAATAAATGGGATTAAATCTGGAGTATCTGAGAGAGTTAGAGCAAAGGAAGGGGTAGCAGTAATGTTGAATGATCAGTTATGGAAGGAGAAAAGAGAATATGAATGTGTAAATTCAAGAATTATGTGGATTAAAGTAAAGGTTGGATGCGAGAAGTGGGTCATAATAAGCATGTATGCACCTGGAGAAGAGAGGAATGCAGAGGAGAGAGAGAGATCTTGGGAGATGTTAAGTGAATGTATAGGAGCCTTTGAACCAAGTGAGAGAGTAATTGTGGTAGGGGACCTGAATGCTAAAGTAGGAGAAACTTTTAGAGAGGGTGTGGTAGGTAAGTTTGGGGTGCCAGGTGTAAATGATAATGGGAGCCCTTTGATTGAACTATGTATAGAAAGGGGTTTGGTTATAGGTAATACATATTTTAAGAAAAAGAGGATAAATAAGTATACAAGATATGATGTAGGGCGAAATGACAGTAGTTTGTTGGATTATGTATTGGTAGATAAAAGACTGTTGAGTAGACTTCAGGATGTACATGTTTATAGAGGAGCCACAGATATATCAGATCACTTTCTAGTTGTAGCTACACTGAGAGTAAAAGGTAGATGGGATACAAGGAGAATAGAAGCATCAGGGAAGAGAGAGGTGAAGGTTTATAAACTAAAAGAGGAGGCAGTTAGGGTAAGATATAAACAGCTATTGGAGGATAGATGGGCAAATGAGAGCATAGGCAATGGGGTCGAAGAGGTATGGGGTAGGTTTAAAAATGTAGTGTTAGAGTGTTCAGCAGAAGTTTCTGGTTACAGGAAAGTGGGTGCGGGAGGGAAGAGGAGCGATTGGTGGAATGATGATGTAAAGAGAGTAGTAAGGGAGAAAAAGTTAGCATATGAGAAGTTTTTACAAAGTAGAGTGATGCAAGGAGGGAAGAGTATAAGGAGAAAAAGAGAGAGGTTAAGAGATTGGTGAAGCAATGTAAAAAGAGAGCAAATGAGAGAGTGGGTGAGATGTTATCAACAAATTTTGTTGAAAATAAGAAAAAGTTTTAGAGTGAGATTAACAAGTTAAGAAAGCCTAGAGAACAAATGGATTTGTCAGTTAAAAATAGGAGAGGAGAGTTATTAAATGGAGAGTTAGAGGTATTGGGAAGATGGAGGAATATTTTGAGGAATTGTTAAATGTTGATGAAGATAGGGAAGCTGTGATTTCGTGTATAGGGCAAGGAGGAATAACATCTTGCAGGAGTGAGGAAGAGCCAGTTGTGAGTGTGGAGGAAGTTCGTGAGGCAGTAGGTAAAATGAAAGGGGGTAAGGCAGCCGGGATTGATGGGATAAAGATAGAAATGTTAAAAGCAGGTGGGGATATAGTTTTGGAGTGGTTGGTGCAATTATTTAATAAATGTATGGAAGAGGGTAAGGTACCTAGGGATTGGCAGAGAGCATGCATAGTTCCTTTGTATAAAGGCAAAGGGGATAAAAGAGAGTGCAAAAATTATAGGGGGATAAGTCTGTTGAGTATACCTGGTAAAGTGTATGGTAGAGTTATTATTGAAAGAATTAAGAGTAAGACGGAGAATAGGATAGCAGATGAACAAGGAGGCTTTAGGAAAGGTAGGGGGTGTGTGGACCAGGTGTTTACAGTGAAACATATAAGTGAACAGTATTTAGATAGGTAGTAGGTTGGTAGACAGCAACCACCCAGGGAAGTACTACCGTCCTGCCAGATGACTGTGAAACAGAAACCTGTAACTGTTTTGCATGATGGTAGGATTGCTGTGTTCTTTTTCTGTCTCATAAACACACTAGATAACAGGGATATCTTGCTACTCCTACTTACACTTTGGTCACACTTCACAGACACGCACATGCATATATATATACATACATCTAGGTTTTTCTCCTTTTTCTAAATAGCTCTTGTTCTGCTTTATTTCTTCTATTGTCCATGGGGAAGTGGAAAAGAATCTTTCCTCCGTAAGCCATGCGTGTCGTATGAGGCGACTAAAATGCCGGGAGCAATGGGCTAGTAACCCCTTCTCCTGTAGACATTTACTAAAAAAGAGAAGAAGAAAAACTTTATAAAACTGGGATGCTTAAATGTGCGTGGATGTAGTGCGGATGACAAGAAACAGATGATTGCTGATGTTATGAGTGAAAAGAAGTTGGATGTCCTGGCCCTAAGCGAAACAAAGCTGAAGGGGGTAGGAGAGTTTCAGTGGGGGGAAATAAATGGGATTAAATCTGGGGTATCTGAGAGAGTTAGAGCAAAGGAAGGGGTAGCAGTAATGTTGAATGATCAGTTATGGAAGGAGAAAAGAGAATATGAATGTGTAAATTCAAGAATTATGTGGATTAAAGTAAAGGTTGGATGCGAGAAGTGGGTCATAATAAGCGTGTATGCACCTGGAGAAGAGAGGAATGCAGAGGAGAGAGAGAGATTTTGGGAGATGTTAAGTGAATGTATAGGAGCCTTTGAACCAAGTGAGAGAGTAATTGTGGTAGGGGACCTGAATGCTAAAGTAGGAGAAACTTTTAGAGAGGGTGTGGTAGGTAAGTTTGGGGTGCCAGTTGTAAATGATAATGGGAGCCCTTTGATTGAACTATGTATAGAAAGGGGTTTAGTTATAGGTAATACATATTTTAAGAAAAAGAGGACAAATAAGTATACAAGACATGATGTAGGGCGAAATGACAGTAGTTTGTTGGATTATGTATTGGTAGATAAAAGACTGTTGAGTAGACTTCAGGATGTACATGTTTATAGAGGGCCACAGATATATCAGATCACTTTCTAGTTGTAGCTACACTGAGAGTAAAAGGTAGATGGGATACAAGGAGAATAGAAGCATCAGGGAAGAGAAAGGTGAAGGTTTATTAAATAAAGAGGAGGCAGTTAGGGTAAGATTATAAACAGCTATTGGAGGATAGATGGGCTAATGAGGCATAGGCAATGGGGTCGAAGAGGTATGGGGTAGGTTTAAAAATGTAGTGTTAGAGTGTTCAGCAGAAGTTTCTGGTTTACAGGAAAGTGGGTGCGGGAGGGAAGAGGAGCGATTGGGGAATGATGATGTAAAGAGAGTAGTAAGGGAGAAAAAGTTTAGCATATGAGAAGTTTTTACAAAGTAGAAGTGATGCAAGGAGGGAAGAGTATATGGAGAAAAAAAGAGAGGTTAAGAGAGTGGTGAAGCAATGTAAAAAGAGAGCAAATGAGAGAGTGGGTGAGATGTTATCAACAAATTTTGTTGAAAATAAGAAAAAGTTTTTGGAGTGAGATTAACAAGTTAAGAAAGCCTAGAGAACAAATGGATTTGTCAGTTAAAAATAGGAGAGGAGAGTTATTAAATGGAGAGTTAGAGGTATTGGGAAGATGGAGGGAATATTTTGAGGAATTGTTAAATGTTGATGAAGATAGGGAAGCTGTGATTTCATGTATAGGACAAGGAGGAATAACATCTTGTAGGAGTGAGGAAGAGCCAGTTGTGAGTGTGGGGGAAGTTCGTGAGGCAGTAGGTAAAATGAAAGGGGGTAAGGGCAGACCGGGATTGATGGGATAAAGATAGAAATGTTAAAAGCAGGTGGGGATATAGTTTTGAAGTGGTTGGTGCAATTATTAATAAATGTATGGAAGAGGGTAAGGTACCTAGGG